TTATGGAAAATGAAAGAAAATTAACTGTTAACCCTAGTGAAGAGAGTTTAAAACAGAACTTAAAAATACTACAAGCTAAATTTGCTACAATAATTAACCAAGAGATAGAGTGGAAAATTAAAAGGATGAATCAAAAGAACTTTGAGTCCGCAAATAAGATAGGGAAATATCTAGCGTGGCAGTTGAGAGAAAGGAAGAAGTTGAATACGATCAGTAAAATAAAAGAAGGAGATATGATTATGGAAGAACCAAAAGAAATAAAAAGAATATTCCAAAGATATTATAAGGATTTGTACAAAAGAGGAGAGGAAACAGAACAAGAAATAGATCAATTTCTGCAAAAACACCATCTGGAACAAATTGTAGAAGATGAAAGAGCAGCACTAGATGAGATAATAACACAGGAAGAGATAAAAAGGCTATTAAAAAGATGAAAGCTGAGAAGGCGCCGGGACCGGACGGCCTTCCGGCCAAATATTATAAAACATTAATTAACCAAATATCACCAGTGCTGGGAGAGGTTATGAACAATATATTGAGAGAAGGAAAGATACCTAATACCTGGAAGGAAGCCTATGTTATATTGATCCCTAAAAAAGAGGTGGACACTATGGAAGTAAAGAACTATAGGCCAATCTCATTATTAAATAATGATTATAAGCTATTTGCAGACATAATGGCGGAAAGATTAAAGAAGGTCTTGATTAATAAAATTCATGGTGATCAAACAGGATTTCTCCCAGGAGACAATCACGGGATAATGTAAGGAATTTGATTGACATTATTGAATACCTGGACATGAAAATAGACAGAAAAGCCGCACTGGTTTTCATAGACGCCGAAAAGGCATTTGATAATGTTTCCTGGAACTTCCTAAAGAAGGCTTTGGAAAGGATGGGAATTGGCGAAAAATTTAGAAGAGGCATAGAAGCAATATACAAAGAACAGAAAGCAAAGCTGGTGATAAATAACAATACAACAGAATATTTTAACATTTATAAAGGGACCAGACAAGGTTGCCCCCTGTCCCCCTTATTATTTATTGTAATTTTGGAAGTACTTAATAAGAGACTGAGGGAGGCAACAGAAGTGAAAGGAATTAGAGTAGGAAAGAAGGAATTCAAAATTAAAGCCTTTGCCGACGATATTGTTTTGACTTTGGAAGATCCACAAGATAGTGTAAAAGAAGCATTACAAAAATTGAGGAATTTGGAGAGGTGGCAGGTTTTAAGGTAAACAAGAATAAAACTAAAATGCTGGTTAAAAATCTAACTAAGGAAGAAACGAAAGATCTAGAACAAAAAGTGGAAATCATGGTGGTGAAAAAAGTGAAATATTTGGGAGTGTGGATTACGGAAAAAAACATAAACATATATAAAGATAATTATTAAGTTAAATGGAAAAAAATAAAGAAAGATCAGGAAATATTGGGGAGGATGAAATTTTCCTTTTTAGGGAAGATAGCAGTGGTTAAAATGAACGTTTTGCCGAGGATGTTGTTTTTATTTCAAACTCTTCCAGTTATTAAAGGTCTAAAACAATGTAAAGAATGGCAGAGAACCCTGATGAAATTCATCTGGCAGGGGAAAAGACCAAGGATTAAAATGAAAATACTAATTGATAAAAGGAAAGAGGAGGTTTTGCCCTCCCAGATTTGAGCCTATATTATGAAGCAGCGTGCCTACTTTGGTTAAAAGATTGGATAAAATTGGAGAACAGAGACCTACTGGATTTAGAAGGTTTCAATAACCGGTATGGGTGGCACGCATATCTCTGGTACGAGAAGGTGAAAGTCCACAGGGCTTTCTTAAACCATATTTTCAGGGGACCAATATATCAGGTCTGGGAAAGAAATAAGAACCTTCTCGAAAGAAAAACACCATGGTGGATTTCACCAGTAGAGGTCTTAACAATAAAAAAAACCAACATGGAAGGGAAGACAGCCACCTACGAAGATTTGCTAAGAAAATCAGAACAAGGGCTTAAACTTAAACCGTATGAGGAAATAAAGGATCAATTCACCGGCTGGTTACAATATCATCAGGTGAATGATATGTTAAAACAAGATAAAAGAAAAATGGGCTTTGAGGACAAGAAATCAAAATTCAATATAGAAATAATAGAAGGCAAAAACAAAACATTGTCTAAATTATATGACATATTACTGGAATGGCATACAAAAGACGAGGAAGTCAAAGAGGCAATGATTAAATGGGCAATTGACTTCGGTTATAACATCGAGTTTGAAAAGTGGTTGAAATTGTGGAATAGAGACATTAAATTTACGGCCTGTACGAGTTTGAGAGAAAATGTTTGGAAAATGCTCTATAGATGGTATCTTACGCCGGCAAAATTGGCTAAAATCTATAGATCAGAAAATAAGACATGCTGGAAATGTGGTGAAGGGGAGGGAGACCTCTACCATATGTGGTGGCAATGCAGCAAGGTGAAGGTTTTTGGGAAGCAATTTATAATGAACTTAAAAAGTTTTTAAATACACTTTTCCCAAGAGACCTGAGGCCTTTTTGCTGGGAATAATGGGTAAGGAAATAAAAAATGAAGATAAAAAATATTTCTCTATGCCACCACAGCCGCAAGAATTATGCTGGCACAAAACTGGAAAATAGAAACTATTCCTAACATAAGTGACTGGCAGGTCAAAATGATCAACTATGCCGAGCTAGATAGATTAACAGGCAGAATACGAGACCAAGACGACCAGAAATTTCAAAAAAATTGGAGTAAGTTTTGGAAATATATTGGAACGGATATATAGGAGGAACTGGCGGTATTAGAAAAACTTTATCAGCTAATAACTATAAACTTTAATAAACTAATTACGCAACCCGGGACTTATTTGATACTTACCAAAAGGGTGAAGGGAAGTCAAAGGCTAAGGAGAGCCTAATGGTTATATTATTATTTTTGTATGAACATATGCTTTCTTTTTGTATAGTATGAAAATAGGATGAATAATTTATGTTAAAATGTTTATTTTTGTATTTGTTAGTTCTTTTTTCTTTTCTTTATACAAATTCTGAATAAAAATTTACTTGCACAAGGAAGGGGGAGTGTTATTGTGCTTGAATCCTGCTTGTGTCAGGGACTGTGCTGAGGAGGGTTGCACTGAGGAGGAATGGTGGGAGCAGGACAGTATAGATTTGGAACAGTGGTTTGCAGAGGGACATAGTTCAGAAGGCAGAAGCTGGGAAATACTGGATGGGGAACAGCTAGGAGAAGAAACACTGGAAGGGAGAGGGTTAACAGATTCACAATCTCTAGACAGCCTTCCTCCACCGCCCTCCCCAAAGTTGAGAAGGGCTCAGAAAGTGGTAGAACAGAAAGCACAGAGAGTACAAACTCAGATTACGAGATGCAGAAGTGACATAGATTGATAGGGACCAAAGGGGGTGGAATCCTTAATTGGGAGCACCGCCATTGCTATGAGATGTGTTCTTTGTTCTCTTGCCGTGATTATTAAAGTTTCTAACTGGTAAGATGACTCCTTTTCCTTTGTTCTGCTTATCTACTGCCACGGGGGAGGACGAAGATTCCCCGAAGCCTGACACTTATGGGTTTCCCCACAGGCATCTATCTAGTTGGCCATGGTGAGAAGAGGATGCTGGATGAGCCATTGGCCTGATCCAGCAGCCTATTCTTATTTTCTTATTAGAGGGAACCCTCTCCAGCATCCCTTTCCTCAGGCTCTCCCAGTCCAGGCAGACACCTTTCCAGCCCACAAGATCCTGGGGTCATCTATCTGCTCCTCCTCTTCTCTTCCCCAGACCAACCAGCCCCCCACCAGAGGACACTTTGCCCACATCCCTACCTCAAACCCAGAGCTGGCTCCGAGTGCAAAAATCGGGATTTGTGCTCACCTGCTGTAATTGGGGATGGTCCCCGATTCTAAATCCTTGTCCGTGAAGGGGTCAACTCTGGCACAAAGCCACTCACACTTGCCATAATACATGGTGTCCAGGACGTGCAGGATCTCGTCACATTTCACAGACAGGGAGCAGCAGTCTAGCTGGCTGGTGATGCTCAGGTTGAGGCGGATGTAGAAGGAGTCTCCGGACGTGACCAGGCCTTCCTCGATTTCGGACACCAGCTTCCGGTAACCTGCAGCAGGAAGGATCTGGGCTCAGCTGACCATGTGGGCCCAGCGGGGAGTTGATAGTTGGGTTCAGCCTAGTCAAACGGCTTGGCTACACCTGATGCTGACTGTCTCGCTTGCAAGCAAGGCTGGCCCAAGACATTTTGCCGCCTGAAGCGAATCAGAAAATGGAGCGGTAACGACTATTTATGTTTGGGACCAGGGCTGCTGGGATTTTATTGGCCCAGAGATGGAAAGATGATAAAGTCCCGACCAGAGAAGAATGGCAGATTAAGTTGATGGATTATGCCGAAACGGCAAAAATGACCGGAAGAATAACACTTGTAGTTTAATGGTGAATTTTGGATTTAATGGAGATGTAAAAGATTTGGATTATTAAAAAAGATGCAGGAGGAAATGACTGACAATAGGACCCACAAAGGGGAGGAGGGAAGTCCAGGAGATGCCTTGGAATCTTGTTTTTATGCTGTATGTTGGATATGTGATTGTAAAACTGTAATTTGAAAAACTATATATATATATATATATATATATATATGCAAATTAGAAAATGGCTCCCCTGAGAATCTCAGCCAGCAGCACATGGGCTCATTCCCATATGGGATGAACTCAAACTCTGTCCTGTAACTCCAAGCTTAAGCCTGCCTTCAGGGAACCAACTGTGAACTGAATGTGAGTAAACTTCTTCTTATTTTTAAAGAAGGGGAAATTACCAGGAATAACCCAATCTGGACAAAGCCAGATTGGATTGCTTAAGTAAAGAGATTCAAATGAGCCTACCAACTAGCTTCCTGCTATATACTGGGGAATGTACTCTGCTACTGACTCACAAGCGTGCGTGAGGAAGGGTAATATTTAATCAATATATCCTCTCCTAGTATCCACAACATTCCCATAGAGATCAAACCTGCAACCTTGGCATTATCAGCGCCATGTTCTAACCAACTGAGCTACTCTGGTTGAGAGGGTGGGGAAGCCCCTGGCCCTTCACTTGCCTGACCAGCCTCTTCTTCCTCTTCTTTTTTGACCCATCCTGTGCCCCCCTCCAGCTCTGAAGCTTCCTCTGCTTGTCTCCTGGCTGGCACAGTTCCTGACCACTCCCTGGCCCCTTCTTCCAAGTCAGACTCCAGCCCCGCTTCCCCCGGCGCATACTCACAAGCATTCTGCTCGTCCCTGACAGTGGAGCAGCTCTCTAGCGTCTCAGGCAAACAAATATCTTAACCCCCCCGCCACCTGACGCCCGGAGATGAGGGAACTGAACCCGAGACCTGCTGCATGCAAAACAGTCACTCCACAAATGAGCTCCGGGCTCGTTCATTAGGCGGCCCACTTTGAACCTAGCAGCTAGAAGGCACGGAGAAATCTTTCCAGCTGGCAGGCAGCATTTATATAAAGAGAACCTCTCATAAAGAACAGGTACCGTGACCCCGTTTTCTGGCAGCTATTCATGTGAGTGCTGTCAGTGGAAGTAAAAAATAAAACAAAACGGAAGGTTTACATCTTTGAAAGTGCGCTGTGATTTCTTCTTTGTGCGCACGTGCATGGTGTAAAGTGCAGCTCAATCATTTCATAATTAACTCTAATTGGCACCTCGCACAATCTGATTCCTGCTTTTTGCTCCTGCCAAGTCTAACATTCATTTTTATGTTTGAAAACATGAAAGGAGAGGAGTGGGAGAGTTTGGGAGGGGAGGGGAGAGAAAGAGGGAGGATACTTTCCCGGGGAGAAATTCCACTTTCTGAATTCCCCTGACCCCCTGCACTGGCAGAGGCCAAGTACATCTTCCGCGGAGTTTAAAAAATTGATTTTTGAGCTATTTTAAAGCGTTTTCTGCAATATGCCCACTGCTGCGATGTTCCGATTCTTTGGGTGACAGCTGTGTGGTATTTCTGTAACTCTTCAAAATATCTTGTTTAAATGGCAGTGGGTCAAAAGGGGAAAAGAAGAAAAGAGGATGGTTGTGATCACACAAATTTTGGTGTCTGTGTGTACAAGCCACCCATTGAAGTACCGGCCCAAATGATTGTTGACTCAGTGGGGTCATAGCCCAGAATCCAGACTCAGGTGATTTTGCATATGAACATCAGTGAGCTCCAGACCCATGGATGTGGGATGTAATCCATTGGAGCAGTCAAATACAACATTCCTTGTTTCCCTAGAGTGGACACAGGCAGGGGGATGTTACTCCAGCCAGTATAACTTCCTGTCCCAAAGGTCTGGAGCGTTCCCCCCCCCCGCATGTGACCAGAGAGATGGGCGTGGCCCTGGCTGACTCCATAAAAGAGCCAAGTCACGCAGCCATTTGTCTCTTGATGCCATTTTCTTCTCTTGATGCTGTTCTCTTAATGTATTTTGCTGTCTGCTGGCTCTCGGCCAGCAGCACATGGGCTCAATCCCCATTTGCCGTTTGTCCCCCGAAAAGTCCATAAGTAGAGTGCCGCTTCTGCGCATGCGTGTGATGCAATAGAGCGCTCCTGCACATGCGCGAAGTGCGCAGAACGCTTCTGCGCATGCGTTATCTGCACCACGCTCTAACCAATGAGTCTACCGCATGATGCAGCAGCAAAAACAGCTCATGCTATTCTAGGCTGCGTCAACAGAAGTATAATGCCCAGATCGAGGGAAGTCATAGCACCGCTCTATTCTATGTATTTATATCTCAAACAAAATGAAAAACAAAGCTCGACTCAATTGGGAGCAAAGCGAAGGAAGGATTGAGGGGGGTGAAATGAACCCCGGAACAGCTGGAGAGGACGCCAGCCTCGCAAAGCCTGGTCTGTCGCCTTTTCTGTTGTTTTAGTGATCACCAGCTTGGCCAAAGGCAGCCGACAAAGCAAACCCTTCAAAAATCTCGAGCCCTCCAAAACCCAAATTTAGATTTTCACTGGCACTGTGGGAACAAAGAGATTCCTAATTTGGTTTCTCAAAACCCTCAGCCACAAATCCTTGCTCTCAGGGCAAAGACATAAAATATATTTGTCTCCATTAACACACCCGCTTTGCCAGCATTTACTGTCAATTGAGGGAACTGGCAGGGGTGGATGAAAGAACTGTAGACTACCCCAGTTGCCGGGATTTTTCCTTGACGGCCTATTGTACTGGCCCCGTATGCTGTCTATAAATATACTCACTTGTCTGAAAGTTTGCATTGAGCAACATGACATCTCTTACCTTCGTGGTTTGATTTGCAGTGCAGCACAACTGGCCCACTACATCTCTGAATCGTCCAATGAACTTCTTCCTTTGTGCAGGTATCTAAGGGAGCGCTTGTGTTTTCCCCTTTGATGCACCCTTCCACCTGGCAAAACGCGAACAGCATTATTCGCTCCTCGGAGGCAATTATTTCACCTATTAAATTATGTAGCCAACATCAATTTGGAACACGCAGCCTGTCTTATTCAGCAGTTGCCGTGATAATCATTTCTCTCTCTCTCCCTCCTCTGCTGCCTGCAACCCCATGATTATAAAATAGCAGCAATTGCTAGATGGATGGATAACTCCGTTTGGACATCCGTGACTGTTCTATAAATGCAGCTGGAGGGCTGTGAGGGACGCCTACCTTCAAGGAAATGAGACAAGTCCTATGCTCCCATTTTTGCTTCTGGCAAGGATTCCAGAGAGTTAAAATAAAGTACAGCATATAGTTAAACTATGGAACTCCTTCCCACTGGATACAGTGCTGGCAACCAACTTGGATGGCTTTAAAAGATTGGACAAATTAATGGAGAAGACGGCTATCGATGGCTATCCTCTGCCTCCACAGTCTTCTTCCAAGCGCGGATTGAATATTATGTAGCACCCATAACAACGCCAGTTCTAGAACGGGTAAGTGATGGACTATGCCGAATCAGCAAAGCTAACAGCTAAAATAAGAGAACCTAATGATGACTGATTTGTGGGAGAATTGAAGCTCTTTTTGGACTATCTAAAGAAATATTACAGTATGCTGAATCTGCAAGCAGGATTTGAACGATGAGCAACAGAAGGAAATAGAGATTATTGTACTATTGTCATGGTACAAGAGAGAGAATATAGGATGCAGCAAGAGGAAAAAATAAAAAAGCACCATGGAAAATGAGATGGGAAGATGACAAAACAAAACAAAAATCTATGTACAGTGGTACCTCAGTTTACGAACTTAATCCGTTCCTGAAGTCCGTTCTTAAACCAAATGTGTTCTTAAACCGAGGCTCGTTTTCCCTAATGAGGCCTCCCGCCACTAGTGCCCTTCCACAGTTCGGATTCCATTTGTAGACCGAGGTAAAGTTCGCAAACCGGAATACTACTGCCGGTTTTGCGGAGTTCGTAAACCGAATAGCTCGTAAACAGGACTGTTCTTAAACCGAGGTACCACTGCGTTGGAATGTGTATGTGAAATTTTTGAAAATTTAATAAAATATAACTTTTTTTAACAACCACAATGCCAGTTCTGCAGATCAAAATGGTTGAGTGGGCATTTATGGGGAGAAAGCCAAACTTGCGGGTATACTGGCCCCAAGTTGTTAGGGGCTTTGGCAAGTCAGCAACCTGTGCAGGTCTTTAAGGACAGGCGTGATGTGCTGATGGGGTCTCAGTCCTGTTCAGCAATTCACGCTGCAGGAATCTGCACTCTCAGCGGGTAAAAGCCCACAGAGAGCGCACAGAGCACATTGCAGTAACCCAGTGCGCTATGGACATCTAATGATTTCAAGCAATTAGTACAGCATAATTAGTAATTAGGGACACGGGTGGCGCTGTGGTCTAAACCACTGAGCCTAGGGCTTGCTGATCAGAAGGTTGCGGTTTGAATCCCCGCGACGGGGTGAGCTCCTGTTACTCGGTCCCTGCTCCTGCCCACCTAGCAGTTCGAAAGCACGTCAAAGTGCAAGTAGATAAATAGGTACCGCTCCGGCGGGAAGGTAAATGGCGTTTCCATGCGCTGCTCTGGTTCACCAGAAGTGGCTTAGTCATGCTGGCCACATGACCCGGAAGTTGTACGCCGGCTCCCTCGGCCAATAAAGCGAGATGAGCGCTGCAACCCCAGAGTCGGCCACGACTGGACCTAACGGTCAGGGGTCCCTTTACCTTTACCTAATTAGTAATTAGTACTAGCATAACCAAGTCCAGTTGAAAGAAAGGGTCCAGAAAGACCCTTCTCTGCTCAACACCCTGGAGCGTTAGGAGGGAAGAACGCTGGACTAGACGGACAAACAAGGAAGTTTTCTGATGTCAGTCAGGAAGAAAATAGACAGGAGGCAGAGGTCAGATGCTCAAGCCTGTTCCCTGATGCCAAACCCTCACCAGAAGCAGCTGCAGCCCCTCGCGAAGGCCGGCTTTCTCCGCCGGGGAATCCAGCTTGACAGAGTTGACGAAGTTTCCTTTGACGTTGCCCCCCAGCAGAGTAATCTCTGAGCTCAGGCTGTCTCCGTTCAACATGAATTGCTGGACGGCATGGTAGGTGGTGTGCGGGCGTCCGACAGACGTCACCGAGGGGCGGAAGGGCCTAAGGAAGGAATGGCGACACAGGCAACACTCTCCTCGACTTCTCCCTAGTCACCTGGGATTTCAAAGTGGGGACATGGCACCCGTGACAGAGGGGCAAGGGGCAAGGAGGCGATGGCTGGTTTCATTTGCAGTGAAATCAGGTTAAAGCCAGGCGTGGGGGTCCAAAATGAAAGCATCACCAGGCCCTGAGCTAGTAGGGGGCAGGCTCCCCCCCGAATACATAAATGCAAACACAAGCTCACACATGCAACTGCGGTCAGACGATCCCCAAAAGAAATGTCACATAAGGAAAAAGGGATGGGGAAGGAGAAGGAAAAATGCAAGCTTAGGCACCAGTTCTTAAAAGTTGCAGTTCTTATTAGAACCAGCTGGAATTGAAATAGTTCACAGAACCTAATACATTTTAACTGTTTTTAATTCTGAAATTTAAATCATTGCAACCCAAAAGGCAGGTGCTATATATATATATATTTT